GCTTTAGAGAATGAACATAGAGAGAATATTAGGCTAGATGGGCCCTTGTTATTTGCTAGGGTGGCATTTTACATAATCTTACTTTCCCTTGTCTTTTGAAAAACACAGTAACCAGTCCTATTCTTAACATCATTTCTTTTCATTACTACTACATGAGAAAGGGGTGAAAATGCCTTTTAGCAGGAAAGCTGGTCTAAGTGTAGAATCAACATCAACTTGAAATCATTTTCGAGTCAAGCTATCAAATCTTATTCTTTGATAAGAATAGAATCTAGAGTCGGACTCCAAGGAGACATGAATAATGTCCGTGCTGGTCTTTCCCTTCCTAATTAGAATTCATGAATTGCTGGGAATTTTTTTGCTGTCTCTCTCTTTGCATTTATCTCAGTAGTTGTATCATTTGGGTGCTAATGTATTTGAATTAAGCTGCTTGATTTTAATTCAATCTGGCACCTCTTCGTGGAGTACTAAATTTCCCCTCAACAGCCATACGTTGAACTGTGGGGAGCCCTTAAGGCTCTGCCGCCAACAAGATTTCAGCCTTTATTGCTTTGTGCAGCCCATCCATTCTTGGTTCAAGGGCAGCCTAGATACAGAGATCCCAGTTCAGATACTCACAGGTAATGACACCGATTACCTGGCAGGATGTGCAAGATGATCCTATCTGTTCTTTTCTGTAGCACCCTGGTGGACTCTGATATATCTTCCCTTCAATTATCAAGTAGGGGTTCACCCAATGAGGGAAAAGTGTCATCAAAGCTTATGCGTCTTGGGCTTCCCTGGTGGCACAGTGGTTGAGAGTCTGCCTGCCGATGCAGGGGACACGGGTTCGTGCCCCGGTCCGGGAAGATCCCACATGCTGCGGAACGGCTGGGCCCGTGAGCCATGGCTGCTGAGCCTGCGCGCGTCCGGAGCCTGTGCTCCGCAACGGGAGAGGCCACAACAGTGAGAGGCCCGTGTACCGCAAAAAAAAAAAAAAAAAAAAAGCTTATGCATCTTGGTGTCATAGTTCTGTACCATTGTACTCCTCATAATCTTTAGACTTAAAATCAAGAGAACCATCTGACATCCAAAAACATCATGTTTTGAAACCTAAAATCCTCTGATCATTATCTGTGCAAGATCCCGAAAAAAGACACCGCTTAGGGGTGTGTGTGTGTGTGTGTACAAACTCTGTAACTTTAAAGGCCAAATACCTGATTCCAAAACACAAAAGAAAGAGCTTCTTAGTGCATAGCAGAGATCTGACCGCATAGCTTCCAGGCACACAGAATTGAACATGTTCTACTGCCAGTACTTGCAACTCAGGAGCATTTTCTTTCAAGGAAGCTGAGTCAGGAGGATGTGGAAAGGTGGAGCTTCCACACATAATTCCTGACTGCTTCCAGGATTAGTCAGATTTCTAGAAAAGCAAAGGCCTGGGAAAACAGCAAGCCATCCCTTGAAACCATATAGAAGAAGAAAGGGTGTGGAGAGATGACAGTTCATGGACCAGGCAAGCCTCACGGCAGCGATACACTAGCCCCATCTTCCCCAGACAGCACCTCATCTCTACAAAGACATTGGACAGGGTGTTCTAGTTCCCTGCTTTGGAAGGAAGAAAAAGTTAATAGATTTCTTTGCCTCAGAGCAATCTTCCATAAAAAGTTATTGTTCCCTCCACATCAGTATTTTACCAGAATAAAGACTTAATTGTAAAATAAAAGAAAATGAATCTTGTTCTCCTGATTGCCCAGTATGCATGTGGTCCCAGCCCTTTTTCTTCCCCTAATGACACTCAACTGGGTCCTACAAGGTGGTTTTTCTAAAAAGGAACTTTATGCTTTCAGAATGCTTTTTCAAAAACAGGCTCTCCTCTAGTGCCAATGTTCTTCCTACCTGAAAATGATGCTGTCAGTTTTTGTCATCTGTACATCATCTGAAGTGGACTTTTTTCTTTTTTTTTAGAGAATTTATCCTGACCTTCCTTCCTCCCTCCCCACACGATGTAACATTCAAGGCAGCAGGCTAGCTGCTGTGGCCACAGAACAGATAGAAACTAACAGTTGCACAGAGGAACTAAACTCACAACTGTGTTAAAAAATACTAAGATAGCCCTGTACATCCAGCTCTGTTAGACTGCGAGGGACATTATGTTTATTAGTCTGCTAGGTGTCGTTAAAGTGCCGCCTTTGTTTCCACAAAGCAAAAGTCATTCATCAAATAGGTTAGTTAACACAATTTTCAGATTCAAAATTGTATACAAATCGATTTTGAGATATACTGCCAGGATACATTATTAAAATGAGGAGTGGAAACGACCTCCTTTTAGTTTTACTTGAAATTTTAATGTTTCCATTAAAACTGTTTATTTCATTTTAAAAACTGGAAACTTAGAGCCACTTGTGTCATTCCCTCACATTGTACTCGTGATACTGAAGAAGTTATAAGTCCTAGAATACCGTGTTTCCACACATCATTTTGCCCATCTCAAACCAGTGAAAGGATGAGAAAGAAAGTGATTACAATTAAACACCACTTAGATTTGGGGGGAAAATTATTTGTATTAAGAAATCAATGTGTTTATACAGATACCTGGGGATTTAGAGTCAAACACAGAGGTAAGCCAGTCTGTTCCAACTCTGATATTCAAAGACCCTCTGAAGAATACTAAACAAAACCAAGCATGTTATTTTAGGTATACTTCCTAACTACTGCCGTTTATAAGTAACAACTCGAAATTCTGTCCTGGCTTCCATACCTTTTTAGGAACTGTTCTAAATGTATTTGTCCTGTGTCAATTATGTGAATAAAATAAGAGCTGAGAGACTCTCCCTAAGAAAATGTTTTTGCTAGGAACCCTGTCCTGCCACTTTCTGACCTTCTTGAAAATGAAAATCTCTTGTGTCTTCCAGATGACAGCCACCTTTTCGGTGAAACCAAAATAACTCTCTCAGCTAGAGAGCTGTCAGTAAGAATTCTGATAGATATCAGAGTTGGCATGCAGGAGGAAGGCAAGAGAAACGGTTCCGTGGTAGGGGGTTTGGTGGGAGCCCCTGACTAGGCAGGAGAGAAAACAATGCACCCCTAGACACTAGACCAAGTACGAGGAGACCAATGGGCACTTCCAGAAATGACAGATAATCTTGGGGGAGAAGGGAGACATTAGGTCCTGCAGGATTTTTAAAGGACTACGTCATATGCGTCAAGCTGGAAGGTGTCCATTTGTTAAAGAAATCAAATACACTTCCATGCGTAGGATTTTCTCTCCCTCTAGTGGTGGGGTGGGATATGCTATTACTACATGATACTACCTCATAAACAAAGATGAGTTTCCATTATAGCACATTTTGCCCATAAATAAGGATTTTCATGAGGTGTGCTGCTCTCTCTTACAGTGATTTCCAAACACCCTCAAACCCTTCATGCTAGGTAGTGAATTGCCTCCTAAGTAGGCTGGTTATCAGTGGGAAGGTAGCAAGGATCTCCTTGTCCTTTTGGCTAAAGAATGCCCATGCTCACTTCCAAGATACAGAATGCTCCTCTCCCCTGTAGTCCCGATCAACAGGTTATTGATCAATAACTGCAAATCTATCAGTGTGAAATATATAAAGTATGCAGCTTTTCCCCCTGCTCCATACCATATGCAGTTAGGCATCAATGATGCTTATTTGACTTCTCCTCTTGTATGTCGCCAAGGCAACCAAAGTCTTATTTTCCTGCAAACCAGTTTCTTTTCTAGTTTCCTTATCTCAGTGAATAACTTCATCGGCTATTCAGCTGTACAAGCCAGAAATTCAGGAGTTACTTGACCCCCACCTAGTCTTCCACCATCATATCCAATCCATCACCAAGTCCTTCAATCTCACCTCCTTAATCTATCTCACCTTAATCTATCTCACAGAGGTCGATTTCTCTCTGCCTCAACCACCACACTATTTCATCATCTCCTTCCTACACAACTAGTACTCCAAAGGGCATCCACTCATCCCTTGTCAAATGCATTCTTCACACTGCGCTACTTCATTCAACAAATATTTTTGAGGGGCCTACTCTGTATTCTGGTAGTACTGTGTTGAATAAGGCAGACCAATTCCCCATTCTCAAGGAGCTAGTGGAGACAGGGTATAGACATTAGATAGTCATAAGCACTATGCGGAGTTGTAAAATAGGGTGATCTAATAGAGAATGGTTGAATGGCTATTCTAAATTGTGTGTTCAAATACAAGAAATCAGTGGGGGTTTCAAGAGGGGATCAGTTTTGAAGCAGGAAAACAGAAGTCCACTGGGATGATGGTAGCTGCTATCAAGACTTCCTCGTAGGTAAGGAAAGTGTTTCAAATACTGGCCAGGATCAAAAAGAATCAGTTAAAATGTTCCTGAAGTTTCAATCTAGGTCTGTTTGTCTCCAAGCACCTCTGCTGAAATATAGTCCTTATTATCTATGTGAAAGCATCCCATTTTCGTTAACTTTTCGGTACGTCTCGTCTACCAGTAACGTAAGCTCCATGAGCAGAACGGCCATAACTGCCTTGCTCATTGCTGAATCCCCAGTGCCTAAGAACTGTGTCTGGTATATAGTTAGCATGCAAATAGGTATTTGTTGCATTAATGCACAAATTGGTGTGTGAAGTGTAAACGGAAACAAAAAATTTACTGAGTGGGTTTGGGGTTCACGAAGCCTTCGCGGAGATGTCAAGGTCATTTACTTCAGCTCGAAAGGTTAACTGGGCTATAAAATCCTGGCCAGGTTTCTCCGCTTTGGATCTCTGGCACCACCTGCTCGCTCTCAAACTCACACACGTGCTCACGGCTACAAAGCTCTCCAGCTCCCCGCTAGGAGGAGTCACACCTTCCGACACAGAATCCCTCCCACCCTCTCCCCTATTTCTCATTCTCTCCTCTCCCCTCCCCTCCCGGTTCCGGAAGCCTTCGAGTCGCAGTGCCCCCTGGGAACAGTAGTCTTCCGGTCCGAGCCTAGAGCGGTTTAGCCCTTTCCAGAACTACGCTTCCCAGAGAGCCTTGCGGCAGAGGGAGGCCGTATCACCTGACCAGGACTCTGGAGAGGTAATGGCGACGCCTATCCTGCGCTGGTGCTGTCCTGGAAGGCGTTGGGTTTTCGCCGGGATTGGCAGCGTTTTTCGCCACGGAAGAGGGGTTCCAACTGGGTCCACGTCCAGCGGGAAGAGGGGACAGAGCACAGTGGCTCAGCAGCCCCTCATCACGGCCCAGAAACCGAGGAAAGGGTATATTATTTCGTACCATTACTCCCCGCTTAAGCGTGAGGTGGAATTGCGGGACTGGAGAGATAGATAATGGCCACTACAGCCCAGCCTTCAATCTAGACGTTTTGGTGGGCGGGAGGTGCTGGGCTATAAGTTGCAGCGCTGAAACCTAAATGAAAGCACGAAACTGGCCCTCTATCAGCCCCGTCCCCACACGTAAACCGCTGTCTTCAGGTAGACAGGCATATTTGGGTAATTTGCGAGTGTAAAATAGCACGTGTTTTCCTGACTCGAAAGCTGCACAGACAGAAGAGTGGATTCAGTTACCTTAACTAATAGCACCAGTAGCGGGGTCGGTGACAGTAGAAGATGAATCTTATTTACCTGACATTTATTTAGAGCTATTACGAGTCAGCAGTGTTGTAAATTACTAGTCAGAAAACACCACCTATCTGTGGAGGCGTTTCATTTTGAACAGTGTGTCTAGACCTAGGAGAATGCAGCCAATGACAAGAGATCTTCCCTCTGGTTATGTAGAAAGTGTTGTTTATTTTGCTTAATATCCACTGAACAGCTGTTTATATTTCACTATATGAGACCTAAATAGTTTATTTTTAAGTACAGAAACATAAGGCATGTGTCTAATATTCAGTTTTTCTTTTGAGATAGTTAGGTTGCCATTATTTTTGCTTTTCTGTTGGAGGAACAGAGGGAAAATGTACAGAAACACTGTTTCTATTCCTTTCATAAATTAGGTTGTCTCACTGTGAATGGAAAGTATTTTTTTCTCTCATGTAATGAAACTGCAAAAATACATTGAATAAGGTTTTAGTGAATGCAAATTTCTGATAAGTTCTTCGTTTAATTCCTCTCAGTTACAGGTTGTGCTTCCCAACTTTAAAAAGAAGGAATTCATCAGTACTACAGATGTAGAACTTCATGTGTTGAAATGACTGAAACAAAACCAAATACATGTAAACTAAATACATGTAAACAAAAATTTCGATAATATAGAAAATTGCTTCGGGGAAGAGCAGGATAGGAACAGGCAGACTGTGGAGAGAGTAGGTGTACACCAGGTGATCTGCAGATTGCCCAGGATACATGGGTTTAATAATAACCCGTGGAATAAGCACACTTATAAGAACCTGGAGAGACCTCTGTATGGAATGTTCATACAGACCCAATAGAGTAGGAGTGGCCAGATAAGAGATTATTGTAGCATTTAGGTTGCATTATTGCAGCTTCTTAGGTTTGGTAGCAATCAAGTACGAAACAAGCAAAGGAACCTGACACTAGATCTTTGGAATTTAAAGTGATCTGGGGAACCAGAAAAAAAAAAAAAAAAGCCACTTGCAATGGTTTAATGTTTCCCTTTGCACAAAATTCCCAGGAAGGGTGTCATTTAGTGGTGATCTATTATATCTTTGTCACTCTGGTTACTTTACTTGCAAACCATTGTTAGAAAATGAATTCCAAACATGACTGAGAATTTCCCTTCCTTTTTAATAATGAGATGTGCAACTATTTACCATTATTTCTCTAGTAAAATCCTGATGTTTATGTTAATTCTAAAAACGTTCACAAGATCAGCTTTCTTCATTTGTTAACTGACTAATTGACAAAGCACAGTTAATTTAGAAAATGCTGCTTTTCATTAGTCAGCCAAACGGTCACCACCTGATACCCATTTCTAAATTGTTTTCAGATGCCAAATTGTTCTTTTCTGTTACCTTCTTGTTTGCACAGTGAACTCTCCTTATGCCATGTTGTAAATGAATTTTGCTTTGCCGGCCTTGTAGGTGTTCATTTTGCATTGCTTTTGATTTAGTCACCAGTACAGTATGACACATTTTTTAAAGTAGGATATAAAATTTTAATAAGTTAAAAACACAAATAGAAAATTAACATTTGTGGTTTCAGCTCTTAGAAATTCATGCATGGTGACGGATCTAAGAACTTCTTAACCATTTTGTCTTCCTATTTAGTGAACGTGAATGGGCAGCTGTGGTAGGTTTGGAGATTCATGCCCAGATTGCCTCCAACTCCAAACTCTTCTCTGGATCTCAAGTCGACTTTGCAGCACCTCCCAATTCTTTGGTATCTTTTTTTGATGCATCTCTGCCTGGAACTTTGCCGGTAAGGTTTTTATTGTATGCTGTTTTCATTACACAATGTTCATGTTTTATCGAACGTAACTCTTAGGAAATACTTGTTTAGGGAGCTTTGCATGAAGTGGGTTGGACTAAATGTTTTCCAAAGACTCATCTCTGTAGTTCTGTTTCTAAGTCTAAACGTCATCCGTTTGTTCGTGTATTCATCTCACACACAATTTAGATTGTTTACTCAGTATCAGGCTGTCCGGTCTGTGCTATGAACTGAAACAGAAAGATGAGCGACAAACCGTGCCTTTGAGGAGTTCAGAGACTAGCTGGGGAGATGTGTCTTATGCACAGAGTACTGTGTCACTGCTCCTGTGGAGGTCATATGCGGAGTATGGTTTTGGAACCCCACGCAGTGACTTACCGAATTCAGTAAGAGAAGGACTGTTGTGAGAAATTGGGGAAGAGATAGGGTTGGCTAAGAAGGGGTTGTTGGAAGAGCAACAGCCTCCTGAGCTAGCTGAGAAGGCAGGCGGGAGTCAGGCAGATGCATGGAGGAGGGAGAGGCGGGGGAGTCTCGTCAAAGGAAACAGCATATGTCATGTGATATTACGGTGTAAGGTCAGTAATGATTGTGGTTTTAGAAAATTAAGAACTGGTCAGTAATGGAGAAAAAAGTCAACCAGTATGCTTTGAGTGAACTACTCATTTATCTATTCATTCTCACTGAAACTGGCAATGACTGGGTCCAGTGTACTAACTCATCAGCAAGATTTTTCGCGTATATTTTCACATAGGTGGATGGAATTTTGAAGGAAAGGATGGAAAGAACAATGTGAATATTTGGGCTAATACATGACTCATAGTCTGTCCGGGACACATAGTATCAGCTGGGTGTGGGGTTTCCTGCCCTCCTTGCAGGGAATGTGTAAGTGGTGGTGATGCGGGCAGGGAGAGGTTTCCTGGGTGAGTTCCACACTTTCTAACATTTAAATACAAGTGAAAACTGGTTGAACTGCGCACTGGCAGGTGTGCAGAGGCAGAGGTTTTCTTTTCCCAGAGTCACTGCCATGGAAGGTCATGAGCAGTGCCTCCAAAGTACCTGCTGCACCCAACGTTTTGGTTATACTAGGGCAGTGTCTCTGTCTTGGAACTTTTTCCTTACTTGTGCTTTTTGTCATGGAGGACTCCTATTCCTGTAAACCATGCCTAGGGTCACCTTTGACTTGCTGTTGGGTCTTTCTGGGAGAAGACAAGTATAGGAGTGTCTGTCCCTTCCCTCCTCCCTCCCTCTGCCCTAGAGTATCTGTTGATGGAGAGATTGTTTTTATTTGAGAAGAGACAATTTTCCAGTTATAAATGTACGAATTCTTTTTGGGGCAGAGACTCAGCTATAGTAGAAATAAAGTAATCTCTATTTAGACAAGTGAATGGAAAGCAATTCATCACAACACCTCTTCTTTCTTCCTTCTGAGCTCAAAACATTTTTTTTCCACATGGTGGTTGGTTCATTATCAAGAGACTAGGCACAACTGCTGAGTTCTTTCTAGGTTTCTCCAGCTGGGAATATAGTATCTAGCAAGGTATTTATTATAGTTCACATTGAAAACATCTATTTGCAGATAGACATGTTTTCTATAGATAGGCTGTTTACTTGTGGCTAACTGTGGTCAAATATTAGAGACAATTCAAAATAACTAAATGTCAACATGCTTTGAAGACATCTTGTTAGGCCCCCAAAGAAGATACTTGCCCAGTGATAGGCATATCAACATGACAGTGAAGTCGTTTGGGACATTGGCACATTGAGAGCTTGGCTTACATTCACTAAATGACAATCAAAAGCTAGAAATCCGGTTTTGCTCGAGCTGGATTTTGTTTTTCCTCTTTGGAGCCTACCACACTCATTGTTTGAGCAGCCTAATGGGTTATTCTTGCAACAGAGCTAATCTGCCTCTTTTTCAGAAATGTTTCTGTCTTTAAAAGACCTATGTTAGTGTGTGACCTAAATTATACCATAACTACCAGAATAAAATGTTGTCATTCCCACAGCCTTTCAAAACCCAGGGATGTACCTAGATAGAGATTTTAAATATGCTGAAACATTTAGACAGTTGGCCTTCTCTAAGCCTGTGGAGATGGTGTATTGATGCTCTGATATTCTGACTACGCATTTGGTTATTTTTATGCAAAAAATGGTGACCGTTTGTTAGATACACTGTTAAGAAGATAGAAATAGGCAACCAAAAGAACTTAGGTTATAGTGTCAAGTCTTTTTCTGTAGACCAGATTCATTTGCTCTGCTGGCCCATTAAAGAGAAAATATGATAAAGTGTGTCTTTCTGTAAGTATTTGATTCTCCCCCTCTCTTGATTGTGTCTTTATTCATTCGCTCAACTGACATTTATTGGATGCCTCCCATGCACTAGCCATCGTAGAAGTTCTAATGATACAGGTTTGAAGAAGGTAAAAGATCGCTGTGGGTCTTGTCTTCACGGAGCTTGGACAATTAAGTGGGCAATTGCAGTACTTTTCAATGAACATGCTGGTAGTGGAAATACAGTGTGCTCTAGGAGGGGCGTTCAACACAGATATAGGGAATTTGCAAAGTTTGGCCAAATAAAAGTGAATAGGATGCACAAAGACCAGAAGAAAAACAGGGCATGGCTTGCTCTAGGAACTGAAAGAAGTTCCGCGCGTTGTAGCACAGAACTGGAATATGGTGTGGCAAGAGGTGAGACCGGCGTAGAAAGCATAGTCTGTACCATACAAGCCCTGCTAAGGAGTGTGCATCCCATTGCAAAGAGGTAAGAAGATGTAAGGAGAGTACCAGGTCAGAGACTCGAAGGGACGGCATATTTTGAGGGGTGAGTACACAGTATTACTGAGATTCAAGTAAGGTGAGGACCAGGCAGTGGTCATTGGATCTGTTAAGGGGGATATTTACAGGAAGCGTTTCCGCGATGGGGTTAGAAGGGAGGTGGCAGAAGGTCGAAGAACTTGGGGATGTTGAGGTAGAGATGAGAGAGTGTAGGCAACTATTTCAAGAAGTTTGGCTTGGAAGGAAAAGAGAATGCAGTAGAGAATTCCCTGACAGTCCAGTGATTAGGACTCCGCGCTCTCACTGCCAAAGGCCTGGGTTCAATCCCTGGTGAGGGAACTAAGATCCCGCATGCTGCAGGGCGTGGCCAAAAAATAATAAAGAGAGTCGGTTTAAAAAAAAAAAGCCTAATTTTCCTTAATGTTGGAGAAACTTGAGATTGTTTCAATGCTGATGAGTTATAGTCAACAGTAAGGTATCGTCCACTTAAAAATATGTTAAGGGCTTCCCTGGTGGCGCTGTGGTTGAGAGTCCGCCTGCCGGGTTGGTGCCCTGGTCCAGGAGGATCCCACATGCTGTGGAGTGGCTGGGCCCGTGGGCCATGGCTGCTGAGCCTGTGCGTCCGGAGCCTGTGCTCCGCAACGGGAGAGGCCACACGGTGAGAGGCCTGTGTACCACAAAAAAAATAATAATAATAAAATAAAAATAAGATTTAAAATAATTTTAATGCTGATGAGAAGGAGCCAATGAGGGGACAATTAAAGAGGCTTTTGATTAATGTGGCAAATTGAATGTATACATGTTAATCTGTCCTTCTCCTCCTACCCCAAAGAAACCCCACTGAAATGACAGTGAAAGAATTCAAAGTTATAAACCTATGAGAGAATGGGAGAGTAGACCAACGTGCATGAGACGGTAGATGGAGGAGGGCCTGACTTGGCAGAACGAAGTTAAGTGTAACCCAGGAAAGGGACAGAAAGCCTTCAGAAAGAGACACTAGTCAGAAATGAGATGGTGTGCCCTATGCAATCCCGGAAAGGGTCCGGATGTGAGATCAACAGGTATTGTGGAGGGCCAGAGGGAGGTGAAGACAAAGGGATTAATTCGGAGTCTGGATACAGAGCAGTTAGACCTGAGGTCCTCTCCTGTCCCTCGGTAGCTGCCCTACCTTCATAGGAATCTATAGTTTGGGGAGAAATTCAGCTTGTGACACACTCCCCCTAGAGACCCCAGGCAGAGCAAGAGGTACTGGTGTCAGACAGCATCTGTACTCTGAACCCCAGGGCCTGCCCGATCATTTCCCTGCCCCGTTTGAGGAGCTCAAGTGAACTGGTATGGCCATCTCTTCTCTTTCCCACCTCCCCCAAGCAGGAACCCATAGGAACCTGACAGAACTTGACATTTAGGGGGATCTCAATTAAAAAAGCTACCTGGCCACCTCATTGATTGTCCTAGAATGAAGGCCACCAATCAGCAAGCCCTGGATATTTACATAGAATGCTTAATCAGCATTGTAGTACCTTACTTTAAAATACAAATAGACTGGGAGTTCCCTGGTGGCCCAGTGGTTGAGAATCCACGTGCCAATGCAGGGGACACGGGTTTGATCCCTGATAAGCAACTAAGCCTGTGCGCCACAACTACTGAGCCTGCGTTCTAGAGCCCGTGAGCCACAGATACTGAAGCCCATGCACATAGAGCCCATGCTCCACAACAAGAGAAGCCACCACAATGAGAAGCCCACACACCGCAACGAAGAGTAGCTCATGCTCACTGCAACTAGAGAAAGCCGGCGTGCAGCAATGAAGGCCCAATGCAGCCAAAAATAAATAAATAAAAAGTAAATACATTTCTTAAAAAAAAAAAAAAGATCATTTCAAGAGGTAAATTTTAAAAATATATGTGTGTGTGTATGTGTGTGTGTGTTTATATATATATATGTGTGTGTGTGTGTGTGTATGTGTATAAATTGACAGCCAAATATCACCAGACATTTGAAGAAATTCTCCAATGTAGTGGACAGAGCCCAAAATAAAAAGAAAACAAAAAAATAAGAGGCAACAGATAATGCACAGGGTAAAAGAATTCTTTAAAAATTAAAAGCTTTTATAAATATCCTTAGAAAGGTAAGAGAAGGTAGCTGCATCCTTGAAACAAGAACAGGATACCACCATTTAAAAATAAACAATCAGGGCTTCCCTGGTGGTGCAGTGGTT